CAAAGGGTGGGCGAAGGGGGAATAGAAAGTTACAACCTGGCATTGGGAGGGGAAAGGGGGAATAGAAAGTTACAAGCACAGCATAGGGGGGAGAAGGGGCAGGTGTGGGAGTAGCTGGCTCACATAGTTCATGAGGCTGCATAATGAGTCCTGACCGTTTAGGCCGGAAAGATGTTTCTGGTACGATGTCTCTCCATCCCTGTGTGTGCATGTGTTTCAGGCAGGCAAAACCCGCCCTGCACATGCACACCCCCAGATGGATACCAACAATATATTTTCTTAGTAGACTGTGAAACTTACTCTCTTGAGCATGCTTAATGTGCTTGAGATTCCCTTTAACAATTCCAAAATGCTTTCCTGAAGATATATTTTATGTCCACTTCCATAATTCCCAGGCTCATAAAGTCTAGTTAAAATGTTTTCTATACAAAGAGGAATTGATTGTAATATTCTTGATGCCAGTTGAAGGGTTTACTATGAATTATTTTTATTAGCCAACAAATAAATCTAATCCAACCTATGATCAGTCTGTCGCATTTTATTCAATTTATCAGCATGAGTATTAACAGTTCATATAATTCAAATGTTTGCTTTAGTCACAGAATGTGAAGAACGTAAGTTTGCTTATTTCTATCTTCTAAGAAGCTTTACTTAAAGTGTAACATAAGAATTAGAGATTTCCAAATGTGAATTGTACTGTTTATGGCATCTATTTTTCAGCTACATGTTTGTTTTAGATTGGATCACTGAAACTATTCCGTGATCTTCAGAAAATCTGTAATAGGGTTTATTTTTAATTGCTTTAAAATCAGAATTCATATTAAGAGAAAAAGTTTGTTTTATAAGCTTTTACAGCTACGTTCTTCAAGATGCTTTCTCTTACAGCCTCCATGATCTAATCAAAGAGAACTATTCTAAATTAAATGTCTTGATTCTAAACATAGTTGCCTTGGATAAAGCCATGGATAAAGCAGGTTATCTGGACCCCTTCTAGTCAGGTTTCAAGTAGGGGTATGGGCCTGAAACAGCATTGATTGCACTTTTGGATGATTTCAGGAAGGAACAGGATGAAGGTAGCATGTCAATCCTTATTCCTCTTAATGATTCAACAACTTTTGATACCATCCACCATGGTATTCTGGACCAGTGATGGGTTAATATTGGGGGCACACTATAATACTATTTTTCCTCCTTCCTCCAGGGTCAGTTCCAGTCAGTGTTGATTGGGGAGGGGGAGATGTCTGCCCCATAGCCCTTCTTACGTGAGGTACCTCATTAGTCCTTTTTGAAGAGCAAATGATAATTGTGGGCAGGAGGGCCTTTGTACAGTTTTGCATTGCATATTGTGACCCTTTCCAAATCATGAGGCAAGTCATATGATCATTTATGCTTTGGTCATGTCCTCAGCTGATTATTGCAATGCACTTTACATTGGGCTGCCCCCAAAGAACATTCAGAAACTTCACTTAGTCCAAATGCAGCCCAAGCAATTATAGATGTGTTATGCCATGTTCACACTTCTTCTGCAAAACCCTGGATGCAATTCTAAGTGCCGATTATTACTTAAAAAGCTCTACTTGGCATGGAGCCAAGGTATTTGAAAGACCATATCCAGTCATTTCTGCCCATCCCATTAATTCAATTCAATTTATTAGATTTATAGGCCGCCCAATCCCAGAGGATTAAGTTGGGCAGGATGAGTATGTTGCAGATCCTATCTATTTAGGGATGATCCATCTAGTGGGAGCAAGGAAGCAGCCCTTTTCTGTAACTCTACCCGACACTAGAACACCGTACTGTGGCTAAGTAGATGGTGGCTAATTGCTGGCTAATTTCCAAGTGTCTAAATTATCACATATTACATGACTTAATTATAAGCACCATTAAATACAAATATATGTTTAAATAAAACTTTATATGATTGTATCATTGAACACACATCCAACAAGTGCCTAAAGCAGCTTAAGACTTGCTTTGTTCAGATTTGGAAGATTAGGTATATTTCATTATATTGACCAACACTGGCAATTAAACCTTTCAGCCATGACTCACATCAATTTATATATATATATCCATATATCATATCAAAAAGAGAAGAGGGGTGAACTAAAACCAAATTAAGAATTTAGTTAAAGTCTTATGCAGTTGCTAGATTTTTGATACTCAACATAAGTTTATAAGATCATTAAATATTCTTACCGGAATTCTTTAAAAATTTAAAAGAAAACAAATGTATTTATTTAAAATTTAGAATATTGTTAATTTTCAGCTTCCAAATTCATCCCTGATAACTTTCTGCATTAATTTAATATGAGCAGGTACAAGAGATGGACTGCTATGAACTCATTTTTTGTTTAAATACTACGTTTTTTCCATGTTGTTTTATTAGAAAATCCTCCTAGTGCCAAGCAACCTACCAAGATGCTGGTCATCAAAAAGGTTTCAAAAGAGGATCCTGCTGCGGCCTTCTCAGCTGCATTCACATCACCAGGACCTCAACTTTCAAATGGCAACAAGGCAACCCCCATCGTCCCAAGTGTCTACAAAAATCTGGTTCCTAAGCCTGCAGCACCCCCATCAAAGGTACACAGGATGTCAGTGAGAAGCTATTATAGGGGCAATTGAAACTATGTTATAATAATATACAGTATAAATATATGTGGTATACTAATATAAAAATAAAATACTAACAGTATAGGAGGGTCCATTGGCTTTTCCTATCTTTATTGTTGGAAACTTGGTTCAACTTTTATATTTTCAGTTAGTATTGTGTAGACATTTAAAAGAAGATGGCCTTCTTTGAGGTTCTTGGGGGGAAATGTGTTATCTGAATCAATTTCAATTGGAATTGCACACCAGGGTTCAGTACAGAGGCAATATTGGTTGCACTTAACACTGATTTTTGGCAGAGCTAGCCTAGAGTGGTGTATCAGTACACCCTGATCTCAGCCGTGATACCATCAGCAACAGTATCCTTCTCCCGAGTTGGTGGAGACAGCAGCCATTCATGGGCAACAGTAACCAATAGGACTGAGTCTACCAATATTACGTCATAGCCTCTGAGGAGTGTCCTCCCTCTTTTTTAGACTCAGTTCGATTGGGACTGGATGTGCTAATTGCTCTCTCCTCAACTTAAATTCAATAAAATATAATTAAATTGGCTATATTAGTTCCAACTACTTTCTCCTCCCTTTAATTGGACTGATAAGGCAGGGGGAACTTGTTGCTGCGGTGCTCGTCAGGGGCTCGTAGCTCTTCATTCTCCGAGGCTGGAAGAAGCAGAAGCATGAGGCAGCTCCCTAGCTTATCGTTCAGGGAACCCCTACTGCTTGAATGCAGCTTTGCTGTCTGGCGTTGGAGGCCACCGCCATATAGGCAGTGTTTCCCTTCGCCTCAGAGGACCTTGCAGCTGCTGCCGCCGCCATTAAAACCGCCGCCGCCGCTACAACCGACGACACAGCAGGCTTTCCCGCTCCTCTCTCCATTGCCACAGCTTTGCAGCAAACCACCGCCGGCTCTGACTGCCTTGCTGTCCCCTCGGCCATGCTGCTGATTTCAACCATAGGCTTTTTGCCTCAGTGGCCATTTTGTTTTGGCGGGAATCTTCCGGCAGCCATCTTAACCAACCCAGTGAGTACTGGCCATGGCAGCTACTCCCGACCAGGCCCCACAGGCCCCTGCAGAGCCTCAGGCCCCAATTCCTCCAGCTGGATCCCCACAACCCAGGGCCTCTAAGTGCAGGTCAACTACTGAGGTCTCTCCTGAGCCCTTACCCAAGGCTCCCAGGCCTAGTCACAGGCCTGCTATGGGCACCCCGGCAGAGGAGGGTGAGAGGGCCTCCCAAGCTCCCCCCAGGAAAGGCCAAAAGGAAGACATGGAACCCCATCCTTTCCAACCTCATGTGGAACCCCATCCTTTCCAACCTCAGAGGCCCATAGAGGCTAGCCCTCCTGCAGAGTTGTCCTCTGATTCAGAGGATGAACTGTCCTGCGGCTTCCATCCTACAATCTGAGTAGGCCAGGGGATCAGTTTAGCAGATTTACAGTGGGGAGGAATCTGGCGACGACAGAAGTCTCACTTCTGAAGGGGAACCTCTCTCCCAGAATTTGGGCTCCACTCCTTTTAGGCCACTTCCTTACACACCTGATATGGCCACGATCATTTCCAATGCCATTGAACGTGGCATAACAGCAGGCCTCAAGCACAGGCCTTCTTCACATTCCACCCCACGCAGGTCTTCTTCTTCCAGCTCCAGATGTAGAGATGATGACCTTTCAGCTTCAACATCACACGATTTGCTTGTCACCTCCAGTCAACCATCCGTCTTCGGAGAAAAGGAACGTCCAGCCTATCTTAAGATGAGGGTCTCCCTCCAGACCCATCTACTGTAATTGGCCTCTTTAAACCTGCTATTTTCGCTCTCTTCTTTTTAAGACAAGGAAAATTGCAAGCATACTGGCTTCCAAGGCTCCTCGGGGCACCAAAGCAGACACCACTAACCCTCTCTTCATTCAGCCCAAGGTAGAAAAGGAGGTGATCCCATTGCCCAGACTCTTCATCGACGTGGTCCAGAACCAGTGGGTGTCACCAGCTACAGGTCCTCTCCCTAACACCTTGGACAAGTGCCTGTATAATGTGGGACCGGAACTTTCCAAGGCACTTGAGTTACCCTCCATTGACCTACCGGTGGTGAGTTTATCTTCCCCTAATGCGGCATCGGCAGCTCCCGAGGAGATCTTGCGCCCTGAAGACAAGAGCTTTGAGCAGACTCTCGTTAAGGGGCATCAGGCCGCTGCATGGGCCATTCAAGCTGCTACAATGGCCTCTTTCTTTAGCCGTTCTGCTCTCCTGTGGCTCAGACAGCTCCAGGCAAGACTTTTCCCTAGGGATTCTAGATCTCACAGGGATATCAACCAGATAAAAGCGGCCCTAGAATACACCACGGACGCATCCTTAGATGTGGGCCGCTTCGCTTCCAAATCCATAGCTTCCTCCATCACATCTCGTCAGCTCCTCTGGCTTAATGGCAGGCTGAGGTCCGGGAGCCCCCTCATCTCATAGCCACGACAGACGCTAATCTCACCGGATGGAGCACTCACCTGAACTCTCTGGTAGCCCAGCTCATTCTAATCACTCCCCATTGTCCACAGCGACCGTGGTATGCGGACTTAATCAGTCTCTCAGAGGGTCCACCATGGCGATTCTCCATGATCACCCCAACCTCCAATGGCTTCAGTTAACCGCATGGAGGATGAACGGGCGGCCTTGACAGCGGCTAACCTTTCTGACAAGGTAATCAGGACTATTCAGGCGTCTCAGCGCCCTTCTACCAATCGAATCTACGAATCATCATGGCAGACGTTCTCGACATGGTGCAATTCTCGTGGTGTTGTCTCGCTCGCGGCCTCGATAGCCAAGGTTCTAGAATTCTTACAACAGGGTCTGGACAACGGGCTTTCGCCCAACACCCTAAGGCGCCTAAGGTAACGGCTCTTTCGTCAGTCCTCTCCCTGCACCGCAATGAACCACTTTCCTTGCACCCTCATTTCCAACGCTTCCTCAGGGGCGCTTCTAAACTCAGCCCCCCTTTCACCCACCGATTCCCCACATGGGACCTCGCCAAGTCCTGGACTTTCTTACCGGCCGCCATTTGAACCTCTAAGGTCTGCCTCGTTATTCCACCTCATTGAAGGCAGTCTTTCTTGTTGCTGTCGCCTCAGCACGGTGCATGTCAGAAATGGCGGCTCTTTCCATCAGGTCTGATTTGTGTGTGTTCCACCCGGACTGTGTGGTCCTTCGCCTCGATCCCACCTTCATCCCTAAGGTTAATTCAGCCTTCCATCAGGCTCAGGATCTGATCTTTTCAAATTTTTGCCCCAATCCAACTCACAGGCTCGAGCGTAAGAGGTACACGTTGGACGTCCATCGTCCACTGAAGATCTACATCAGCAGGACAGCCGACTTCAGGCGCACTGAGGCCCTTTTCGTCTCTTTCCATCTCACCAAGGAAGGGCTTAAAGCTGCTTCTTCAATGATAGGGTGGTGGGATCAGATCCACCATATCGAAGGCTTACCTAGTTCACCATCTTACTCCACCACCCAACATCACAGCGCAGTGCGGCAACTTCGGCGGCTTGGGCGACACAAGTCTCTGTGGAGGAAATCTACAGGGCAGCCACTTGGACTACTCCACTTCCCTTTATCCGCCACTACAATGTAGATAGATATGCATCGGCTGATGCGGCCTTCGGAAGGTAGGTTCTTCAACAAGTCCTCCCCTCTTCAGTCTCCTAGGCTGTTGCATTCCCTCCCAGGACAAGCCAGGCTTTGATATGTCCCATGCATGGCTGCTGTCTCCAACAACTTGGGAGAATGGGCTTTGGTTTATTACCTGATATGCCCCTTCTCAGGGCAGGTGGAGACAGCAGCCATCCCCACCCCATTATCCATGCGGGCCTAGGTCGCAGAGGGATGGTTGTAAATTATATTGGAGGAACAAGCACATGAGAGCATTCAGTTACAGCACAGCAATCTACGTACCTCCGTCAAGAAAGCAGGAGGACACTCCTCAGAGGCTATGACGTAATTTTGGTAGACTCAGTCCTATTGGTTACTTGCAGTGTTAACCCATGCATGGCTGCTGTCTCCACCTGCCTCAAGAAGAGGCGTATCAGGTAAGAAACCAACGGCCATTCTGGACTAACTCCAGTGACATGCCTCTTCCTCTGTGGTTGCTTACAGCTAGTGTTAACAGGAAGGGGGAGATTTCACCTGTGATACCTCACTTGTGGGATGTTTCAGGATTTACTGGTCTCTGTTCTTGTTGTGTAACATCTACACGAAACTGCTAGATGAGAAGTTTGGTATCATCAGCATACCCTACATTCAATCCTGATGGTATAATTCAAACTGTTGAGGTACTGTCCCATTCTCTAAAGCTGTTTGAATGGAGAGGAATAACTTTTAGTTCAATCCTGACAAGACTGGGTGGCTCTGGCTGTCTGGATCCCCCTGGTTTGTGATTTCACTATTGTTCTTGGATGAGGCTGTACTTTGGCATTCAAGACAGGTGCACAACCTTGGATTCCTACGCTAACAACTACTGCTCAAAGAGCAGGTGGCAGCTGTGGCCTGGAGGACTTTGGTACAGGTTCATCTTGTGCACCAGGTGTGCTTTTTTCTCAATTAAGAGTCCTTAAAGTCCCTAACGCCCTGCTTGCCTCTCTATTGGACTTTTGCAATCCGTTCTACATGGGACTATTCTTAAAGATTGTCTGGAAGCCACAGCTGGCTTAAATTGAGTGGTATGAGCAACAAGGGCCACTATTCACTCTGCTCATGTCACAAACAAGCTGCATTGGTTTACACTTGGTTTCTTGGGGCAAATTCATGGTTTTTAAAGCTGTTTATGGCATAGGGCCTGGTTAACTGAGGGATCATTTCTCTTCCACTGTTTCTGCCTGCCAAGTACATTCAGGCAGATTCAGAATGACTAGGAAGCATATCTTCAGGTTCCATAAAGTCCTTAAAACCTGGCTTTGTTCTGAGACTCGGGGGTAAATGTATTGGGTTGGGGGGTAGCTGTTTCTAATCTAGACTGTCCTGTTTTGCCTATGGTTTTCATTGTTTTGAATGGTATTAGATGATTGTAGTGAATGGCCATAGCAAATTTAATAGAAAAAATAAATAAAACATTTTCCTTCAATTTCATTTTCTAGCACTGTTTTTTCTTTCACTTTGCACAAAGAATTCGGGATCATTTGTTATTTTTCCAAATCATTTAATATTCTGGGAGGTATTATTGTTAGGATCTGGAATATAGTTATGTCAGATAGATCGATCCCAAAAGGAGCATTTTAAATAAGTGCAGATTTTCAAAAGACAATATTTTTACTAAGTCAGTGTTGGTTTTAGGCAAATATATCGCTATTGTTACTGTACATTTCTTCATTATAGCCAAATCAATGGAAAACTAACAGAAGTGAACATAAACCAAGCTCACTAACCTCCAGCCGTGATTCAGCTTTTACCAGTCCTGTGTCTGTAACCAAACCAGCTGTGTTAACCAGTGGCTCTGTTCTCACCTCTTCCAAAGAGGTAAGCATGTATGGGGGATATAAACATGCTATAAATCAGAAGGGACTAACCAATTTCAGCACTCTCTTATCAAATCAGTGAATAGACCATTGGCTTACCTGAATGGTCGTTCTCTCGGCGCTGCGGAGTGTCCAAGCACGGTTAACTTCAGCTTGCTGCCCAAGGAACTGAGTTTAAATTTGATTGTAGCTCCACCTTTTGGTTGCCTCAGAGGCTGTTTCAAAAAATGAAGAAGAACAATAGTCCATGACCGAACTAATCAGAGTCCAAGTCCAAGACATGAAGGTGCTAATAACACACCTCGCGGCCCCACCTTAAGGGTGGGTTTGGACACTCCGCAGCGCCGAGAAAACGACCATTCAGGTAAGCCAATGGTCTTTCTCCTAGGCGCTGCTTGGAGTGTCCAAGCACGGGACATGCCAAAGCTATGTCAAAGTCGGGAGGGAAGAAGAACTGTCCGGGACCACAGTGCTTGCCACGACTCTCTGTAGGACTCTCCTCCCAAACGACGCCTCAGCGGAGTCTGAGTTACTAAGTCTGTAGTTACGGATGAATGGAGATGGACCAAATCTCTTCAATTGGAGCCTGAGTAGCCCAGGTGGCTGAAGTCGCTGCGCTCCTCGTAGAGTGTGCTGTGATACGCGGAGCCAGCATCCGTGGTAGAAGACATGACTTTCTTCCCCATGGAAGCCGGCTGGAAAGACACAAATAAGGCTTCCGACTTACAGAATGGAGCGGTCCACTTGATGTAGATGCGCACCGCCCGCCACACGTCCAACCTATGCCATGTCACCTCTGCTGACTTCGATTGACCTGAAAGAAGCGTACCTGCATGTCCCGATTCACTCGGCGCATCGCAAGTTCTTGAGGTTCCAGTTTGCCGATCGCCATTACCAATACAAGGCCCTCCCCTTCGGACTCTTGGCGGCCCCGCGGACGTTCACCAAGCTGCTGGCCGCTGTAGCTGCATGGCTCTGGTCTCTTCCTGTGAGATTGGAATGCTACTTGGATGACATCCTTATCCACTCGTCCAGGGGGCAAGCCCACGCAGACCTGACCACCACCATCAAGGTCCTGCAGCTTCACGGGTTTTCAGTCAACCTGGCCAAGAGCCACCTGAACCCGACCTACAGGATCCAGCACTCGAGATGATCATCGACTCCGAGACCTGCAAAGTCTTCCTCACCCAGGAGAGAGTAGACAGCATCTGGACCCTGGTGAGGAGCATCCGCTTGACCGGATCTGCATCGGTCCTCTTTCTGTCTCAGCTGATGGGGAAGCTGGTATCCTGCATCTCGGTGGTCCCATGGGCGCGGTTGCACACGAGGGAACTGTAGTGGTTCTTCCTCCCCCTCCAAAGGAGGAAAGCCAGCAACTCCAGGCGCGTGATCTGGTTCCCCTCGAAGATCCTCCGGTCCCTCCGGTGGTGGCTGTCGGATGCCCTCCTCAAGGGCAGTGACTTCAGGGAGCCGGAGCGACTGATTATCACCACAGACGCCAGCCTCTTCGGCTGGGGTGCTCATCTAGGGACCTCGGTGGTCCAGGGCAGGTGGTCGCAGGCGGAACTCGCCCACAACATCAACTGGCTGGAGCTCCAGGCTGCAAGACTCGCCCTGCGCCACTTCCTCGATCAGGTCAGGGGCCGCGATGTACTGATTCTGATGGACAACATCGCCGCCAAAGGATACATCAACCACCAGGGCGGCACGCGGTCCCTGGCCCTGATGTTGGAAGTGGAGGCCCTGGATCGCTGGGCGGAGAGACATCTGGCATCAGTTCGCGCGGACCACATCTCCACCGTGGACAACGTGACGGCGGACTGGCTCAGCAGGACCAACATCCAGAACTCGGAATGGAGGCTGCACCCGAGACTGTTCTACCAGCTGTCCCAGAGTTTTGGCCACCCGGTGGTCGACCTGTTCGCCTCGCCAGCCAACACCCACCTTCCCAGGCATCTTGAAGCACTTGTACGCCAGATGTTTGTTCAGTTTCTTGAGTTCCAGGATCGCCCTTCCCCCCCCCCCGATGATTTGGGGACCAGGAAGAGGATGGAATAGAACCCCATGCCTTCTTGACCCCTGGGGACCTCCTCTATGGCCACTATCTCCAGGAGGTGTTCTATCTCCACCCTCATGAGTTGGAGTTTGTGGGCGGACCTGGGGACGGGGCAACGGAGGAAGGTTCTCGGGGGAAAGGACAGGAACTCCAGGGTCAACCCATGGTGGATCGTATTCCTGACCCAACTGTCCATCGTGGTCTCCTCCCACTGGGCGGCATAGAGCTGGAGGTGGCCGCCTATGGGGGGAGCCCTGTGACGGTCACTTGGATTTCCTAAAGGGCTTGTTGGAATAGCCCCCTTGGAAGGGCTT